CAAATCTTTTATTTCTTCATAATTACTAATGGATTTTTACGAATTATAATTCGTAACAAACTTTAATAAACTTTTGAATTTAATTTATTTTTCAAAACATCCATTTTCTTTATTGAAAATATGAACTTAAAATTGTAGTAGAGGAAGAGAAATCACGATCTAAACGACAATCAATGTCATCAAATACCGTATCATATTTGTACAAGGTTGGAAAATAATTTTACTGCGACAGTTATATTTAATTTCTTGACTTGATCTCTTATGAAGTAATCGATAATAATTCATGGATGTAATGGGATGTTAATTTTTTTTAGGTAGCAATTATTAAATTTACTTGAAACACTTAACTCAACAATGGCGCATTTCATTCGTTGTATAGCACCAAACAGGAAAAGATTACCAGGTGTTATTGATCCTCATCTTGTACTTCATCAATTGAGGTAAGTATTACTGTAATATTTATCATAGTATTATAGAATTAATGAAATATTTTTTATTTGAATCTTAGATGGTTTACTATTTTGAAGATATTATTCAAAAATTTTTGTAAAGTAAACAAATTTTATTACATTTATTAATTTCAGATGTAATGGTGTATTGGAAGGTATCAGGATTTCTCGTCAAGGATATCCTAATCGATTATTATTTGATGAATTTATTGAGAGGTATCGAATTCTGGTATCGGATCCAGATCTTGGATATGGACGAAATGCTGTTCAACGTTTTTGTAATGCAATCAAACTTGATCCAACATGTATACAAATTGGAAAAACAAAAGTTTACTGTAAAATTGGCGTAATTTCAGAAGTATGTTTGTTTGTTTTTAAAATATTAAAATTAAAAGCATGAAAATTTGTTTCTAAAATCTTGACATTAAATTAGAATTTGTTGTAAAATTGAAAATTGTATTTTTCAGTTAGAAAACCGTCGTAAAAATTATTTAAGTTCACTAATCTGTGAAATACAAGCATCAATACGATGGTATTTGGAACAACAGCATTACGAACAATTACTTAAGAATAGGTTTTTTTTTCTTTTTAATGGATTTCAATTTTTTATTTTTGTTTTTGAAAATATTCTAAAATTTATTAAAGTTGCCTAATTTATTGTATTATAATATCTATTAATAGCATCTTATCATTGTTTTTTTTCCTTTTCGGATAAATCTCAGTGAATTAATTTTCAGAGAAGTTATTTTAATTATTCAAAATAACATTCGATATTTTACTGAAATTTCCAAATGGAATTGGTATCGATTGCTAATGATAGTGAAAGAACTAATACCATTGAATAAGGATAAAATAAGATTGGAGGAATTGTTGAAAACAAACGAACAATTAACAGAGGTATATTTATATGATGATATATTTTAATAGTAATAATTCAATGTAAATTTCATTTGATTAATTTTTAGAAAATTGAATTTGAATTAATAGTTTCAAGTTTAATAATTTATCTAAGCAAGAACAATGAATGCATTATTGTCTTGAATTAAATAGTCACGATAATAATAACAATAATAATATTAATAATAATAATATTAATAACAGTAATATGTTTTAGTGTAGTTATACTAATTTAATTTTGATTTTTTAATTCAGGAATTAAGCGATTTGCGAGATAATTATGAAAAGATTCAGAAATTATTAGATGAAGCTAATAGTAAAGTCAAGAATGTATGTTTTTGCTTCAAATATTGTTTTCTTTTTGTTTTTGTATTTTCATTTCTGTTTAAATTAAATTTTTATTTAAGTTCTTTTGAAAGTAACATGAAGTTACAGCGCAGCAAATTGGAAATTAATTACAATTTCAAATTTCAAATTATTTCATTGATTTTATCATTCGTTTATTTTATTTCTTTTTCTTTTAGCTTGAAGATGAAAAGGAATTGCATATTTGGCAGAATGTTGAAATGAAAGAGGAATTGACGCGACATGAAGAACTTATGGAAATGATGGAGAAAAGATTTGATGAACAACATGCTAAAGTTATGGTAAAGCAAATTTTTAAATTTCATTTTTAAAACAAAGATTTCTTTTTTTAAATCAATTTATCAACACTATGGGAGGAATTTGATTACTAAAATTTACAATTCTTAAAGTTTTTCCTTTTTTTATTAGTTTAGTTTTTTTTTTTTGCCGATAATTTTTTTTACTGTTATTTTTATAGAAAATACACAATTGTTTGCAAGAGAATGAAAAGAAGATTGAAGCTATTGAAAATGAAAAAAAAGATCTCGAGAGTCAGCTGTGTAAGGTAAGAGCAAGTACTACTTATCATTAATACTAATATGATAAATGATTGTAGTCTCATTATGCTTATGGATTGGCAGCTTTATGACAGATTATTTGACAAGCTCATTCAGAATGAAAATTGCTCGAATATGATAGATTATTTGACGAGCTTATTCAGAATGAAAGTTGTTCGGAAAAAAAAAAGTAATTAAAACTTGCAACAGAATGACGAGAAACATCTTTAGCTTTTATTAAGTTACAAAGTTAGTTTAAATTATTTGAGTGATTTTAAAATTGTATTTGAAGGATGTTACCTTTTTTTTGGAATTTTAGTTTTTCTTTTTTTCTGTGTATTTCTAATAAAGAGAAAGAAGTTTTTCAGTGTTTTATTTAATTATTTTTATCGTGAAAAAAAAAAATTCGAATAGAACAAATTGAAATATAAACTTCAATTTCACCATCACAAATTGAATCATTCATTATCAAAAAATAATTGATGATAAATTTTGACTGTATTGCAGGAATTATTGTAGTGAATTCTTGTCTCCAACTTGAGAAATACGAAAAAAAAATTATTTTGTACAATTGATAATTAACAAAACCTAATGATTAATTAATTTAAAATGATTTAAAAGATGGTTCAAAGATTATTATTACTTCACGAAATTTTTTCGTAATAAAACACCATTTTT